AGGATAAAGGATTTGTAGTTGAAGTAAATACGACTTTCGAAGACTTTGTGGCCATAATCAGTTCAACTAAAAGGTCAACCACGTTAGATGCTGGAAATATTAAGTTGGCTTTCAACAGTTTATTAGAAAAGGCAGAAGCTCATGAACGCGAACGAGAAAAAGAGGAGGCTCGGAAAATGAAACGAAAAGAATCTGCATTTAAGAGTATGTTGAAACAGGCTACTCCTCCAATAGAATTGGATGCTGTCTGGGAAGATATCCGGGAGAGATTTGTAAAAGAGCCAGCATTTGAGGACATAACTCTAGAGTCTGAAAGAAAACGAATATTTAAAGATTTTATGCATGTGCTTGAGCATGAATGTCAACATCATCATTCAAAGAACAAGAAACATTCTAAAAAATCTAAAAAACATCACAGGAAACGTTCCCACTCTAGATCGGGATCAGATTCAGATGATGACGACAGCCATTCAAAGAAAAAAAGACAGCGATCAGAGTCTCGGTCTGCCTCAGAACATTCTTCTAGTGCTGAGTCTGAGAGAAGTTATAAGAAGTCAAAAAAACATAAGAAGAAAAGCAAGAAGAGGAGACATAAATCTGACTCTCCAGAGTCAGATGCTGAGCCAGAGAAGGATAAAAAAGAAAAAGACCGAGAAAGTGAAAAAGACAGAACTAGACAAAGATCAGAATCAAAACACAAATCACCTAAGAAAAAGACTGGAAAGGATTCTGGGAATTGGGATACTTCTGGCAGTGAACTGAGTGAAGGGGAATTGGAAAAGCGCAGAAGGACCCTTTTGGAGCAACTGGATGATGATCAATAAATTATACCAAATATAAAAAAAAAACAAAAAAAACAAAAAAACAATACTGTGGCAAATATCCTTCTAAGTAAATCCTTCTATTTATCCTGCATAATTTCCTTTAGATAAATTTCTAGAGAAAGATTCCTGAATTGAATGCTGTAATGTATGTAATGTATTGGGTTAAGGTGTGTGTGTGTGTGTGTGTGTATATATATATATATATATATATGTGTGTGTGTGTGTGTATACACATACATACATGTAAGAATGAAAGAGGAATGATACCGCAGTGCCTGGTATTAGAAAGGCAGGAGTTAGCACCTAAATTTACCAGCTGTGTGACATTGGAGAAGTTTCTTAACTCACTGTGCTTCAGGTTCCTCATCCATAATAATGAGAATAAATAACCGCCTGTCACATAGGTTGTCATGAGAAAATGCATGTGAAGGGGTGCCTGGGTGGCTCAGTTGGTTGGGCATCTGACTCTTGACTTCGGCTCAGGTCATGATCTCAGGGTCGTGGGATTAAGCCCTGCATCAGGCTCAGCATTGGGCATGGAGCCTGCTTCAGATTCTCTCTCTCCCTCTCCCTCTCCCTCTGCCTCTTCCCATCCCACCCCCACTCTCTCCCACTCTCTCTAAAAAAAAAAAGAAGAAAGAAAGAAAGAAGAAAGAAAATACACATGAAGTGCTCAGCACAGTGCCAGACAATGAGTCCTTGTTGAAATATGTGTTAATATATTTAAAATGCAGGTATTCTTGGGTACAAACCACCACAGATACTATAATGCAAGTGCTCTTAGAAGTAGCAGAGGCCACTTCACAACTGAGTTACACTAATAAAAGCAACACACAATGGATGAGCTCAGATATAGACAGATATCACAAGAGAAAAAGTGTCTTCCAGGATAAAAGTTTGAAGAGAGTACTAGACTGCAGCCTAATCAATAGTATTATTATTTTTTTTATTAACATATAATGTATTATTTGTTTAGGGGTACAGGTCTGTGATTCATCAGTCTTACACAATTCACAGCGTGCTAAAGTTAAAGATTCTGATAACAGAAGGGGGGTAGTCAATTTTGAAATAGGAATATTGGGAAGAGGTATGACAGAGGCACAGTCCAGGAGAAAAGGTGCCTGTGGACCAACATGGATGTTGGCTCAGTAGCTCCATCCCTCCAGCGGAAGTGGATGCACCGCTTTCCCAGCTGGCTGGCAATAGGAAAGAAAACCATCCAGTTCATGCCCCTCGTTTTATCCCCAGGTTTATTTAATCACCTTCTGATTATAATCTCCATTCCCATGGAAACTGTGCTGTAGAGAAGAGAATGCACTAACTGAATCTAAATATTTCGGCCCATGTAATAGTTATATTTTAAGAATAAATTAATAAATCAGTGTTCTATTTTGTTAAAAAAGTTATGATAAAATTTATATTTAAAAATGTGCATGGAAATACACTGATAAACTTGAAAACACTTTATGAATGTTCACTATTACGTTGGCAAAAACTCACCATATTCTGAGAAAAATCTGCATAAGAGGGAAATACTTCCTGCCTTCCTTCCTTTCATATGTGTTCAGGGAGTGGTGAAGCTGGGGCAGGCACTTCACGTTCAACAACAGATGAGTGCAGGAGAAGTCCTTGCTCCAAGGATAACGACCACAACAGAAGGCATGCATAATGATAAACTCAGATGAATCTCTCTAGAGCTGAACCCATAGTTTAATGGTCATGTACAATTTAAACACTAATTGAATTTTAATTTTCTCACAGATGCATTAAAAAGCAATTTATCAAAAAAGAAAAAAAAGCAATCTATCATGACTTTTAAATGAGCTTTCAAGTGGAAACTTAAGGAGCACAGTAATAGATGCTGAATGAATTTTATTATGGTTCTGGTGTCTGATAATTCTGTATTTCATTTCCCCAAAGAAGAAATTAACATTAATTAGAATTAATTAATTAATAACAAAAATCAGAAATTTTAATTTTAAACTATTTAAGAATTATACATGCAGATCTTATCTCCCATCTCACCAAACATTTGTTTGGCCAGAATAGAAAATTTCAGCATTTGGGTTTTTTGTTTTTGTTTTTAAATATTTATTTATTTATTTTAGAGGGAGAGAGAGAGACAGAGAGAGAGCATGAGCAGGGAGAGGGACAGAGAGAGAGGGAAAGAATCTCAAGCAGACTCCCTGCTGAGCTTGGAGCCCAAACTCATGACCCTGAGGTCATGACCTGAGCTGAAATTAAGAGTCAGATGCTTAACTGACTGAGCCATGCAGACGCCCCCCCAAATTTCAACATTTGATTCAAATCAATAAAAGATCTCAAGGACTTTATTACAGATGCATTTACCTAAATAATTAACTGTCTTCAAGATCTTTTTAGGAGACACTGTGGGAGGGTGAGTAGTAAAGGCCAATGTGTCTATCCAGGGATTATGACAGGTAAAATATACGAAATAATGAAGCAAATGGAAAAAGATCAGAGTTTAAATCAAGCAGGAAGAAGATTTTCAGAAGAATAAGATATAGTATTGGATCATTACTAAGAAGAAATTTAAATTTTGTTTGGAAACACAGACTATACAGCAGTTCATCAAAATTTGGCAAAATTTGTTCAGAATTTAAATGCACTTCCTATATTAACTGAAGCCATTGTCTTTATCAGTTATACAAAAACTATTAAGATCCAGGTGTAAATTCATATAAATATGAATGTCCTTAAAAGTTTTTGAAACAAATGTAACATGTATTTTAACCATGAAGCAAACGCCCTGTAATCTTTGCTGTTATGTCCTTATATTACCCATTTATTCACTTTCTCTACTATCCCCTAAACTATACCACTTGAAAGGGAACCTGAGTTCACCGTCCCCCAAACCTGTTTATATGCAGGATTAGGATTTCTGAAAACCAAACTCAAAATCTAATCCTGGAGTTGGTTAAATAATAATGCAAGATGAATCCCCACTCTCACTGAGTCTTTTAGGTTAACATTAGGGCATCGATTATGAAAGATTAGATTTCCGAAAACTTGGGATGATAAAATAAGAGCAGATTCTGATGAAGCTGAGATAATTAAACCCTAAATTCTGGCAAGCCACCTTTGCCAGTAGGCGCATCCTCTTCTCTCCTGTTTTAGAAAGTTAGTGTGTCCTTACCTGTAGAGACTGCACAGGTCTCCTGTGAGGTAGGTGTCTCGCACAGACTTCTAATTCCCCTCAAGACTTCCTTCCACCACAGCACAGATCTCCAAGTGAAATTCACTGGGGAAAGTTCCATTCTTGTGTAAACTTCCAAGTGGCTCTTTTTGTTCTACATTTATGTACGACTTGACAACCCAGACTCACCAGACAGCTTTGAAGCCCCATGTGATAAAGACAAAACTAAACAAACAATAGGAAACCACTGTCTCAAAACCAACATCAGCAACAAAAATAGAACATAAACTAAAACAATTTGAAAAAAAAAATGATGGAAAAGAGTAGGAAAACAAAAAGAAAGATAAAGTATCCATGGAGCAAGAATGAAGTTCTACACAAAGAACAGTCAGAGAATAAGATGCGTTCACGGGAATTAAATATATAATAGCAGAGATGAAAAACAGTAAAAAATTTTAAAAGATAAAGTAATATCCCACAAAATAGATAAAAAGGCAAATATGTTAAAAAGGAACAAAAGGATACAAAAACTAGAGGATTAGCTCTGGAGGACAAACTTCCATAAAATAGGAAATTAGAAAGAGAGAATAAAGAAAACAAAAGGAGAAATTGTCAAAGATAATTCAAGAAAAATTTCCAGACCTGAATAACCTAAGTTTCCATATTCAAAATATTCACAGAGATGCCCTATAAAATAAATGAAACAAATAGGAGTATATCATTGTGGTATTTTGGAACATTTATCTAATCACTAATAAGAAAAAAGAAAACAGTTTAAAATGATGAGATGAAATGGAATTGATTTCTCATAGAAATACTTGAAGCATGGCAACAATGAATCAAGGTCCATGCATCCTTTATATAGAAGCTACTGGAAGATAGGTTCCACTAAAATGAGAAGACATCCAGAGAGGAAGAAAAAGAGACATGAAATACACAAGAGACATTCAGGGAGTCCCCAGGATTATGGTCCAAAAGCTCTTAGGATGATGACCTGGGCAGCAGACCCAGAGGGAAAGCAATTCATATGGGACTAGGTCAAGAGGCTTCAGGAAACTTCCTCCAAAAGATGAAATTAATAGAATATATCTAAGTGTTTCAACTTAATGACACAAGAGTTACACAAATAGGGGACATATGAGAGTTGAATTAATTATAAGTACATAGAAAACCAAGCAACCAAATCTACTCAAGATTCCAGGGAGAAAAAAATTACAAGTCATCATAGTATACTGCATGGCTTGGTACTAAATAGCTAACCAGCCACAATGTTGATGTACAATATTGGGAGAATGGAGAAATAAGAAGCATGCCTGCAGGTAGTGGTAGAGAAAAAGAAGTAAGTCCTCAGCTTTCATAGTGCCAAATTCATAGATTATGCCTAAGATGGAAAATTTAGGGATGGCTGGTCTCAATAGATTACACAGAGGTAAAAACCAAAAGAATTAAAATTGTTGCCTGGAGGGTGAGATGGAGGTGAGCAGTGTAAGGGAACTGTTTCCTTGGTAAGCCATGTGGAACTATTTGACTGCTTAAAATACGTGCTTGAATAACTTTGTAGGGCTGTTTGACTCAGTATGTGCATGTATAGCTTTGAGAAAAGTTTAAAAAATTAAAAACACAATTTATTCATGAATGATTAAACATTTCTGATCCTGTCTAAATGAAGTCTTAGGAGATTAAGCACAAACCAAGATAAACGAGTGGATAATTGTAATCAAATATATTATGGTTCACATAATTTAATCTAAATGTTACTCATCTTAAACTCAGTAGTTTGAGTGAATCATTAATAATGCACAGATGACACTAAAAAAGGAAGAACTTGTTTTTTAAGTCATTCATCTATTTT